ATTATATAGGACTAGAGGCCTGGTGCACAAAAATTTGTGCACTGGGGGTGAGGGGGGTCACTCAGCCCAGCCTGTGCCCTCTCGCAGTCTGGGACCCCTCAGGAGATAATGACCTGTTGGCTTAGGCCTGCTCCCGGGTGGCAGAGGGCAGGCCCAATCCCTAGGTGCAGCCCCTGGTCAGGCTCAGAGCAGGGCCGATTGGGGAGTTGGGGTGCCGCCCCCTGTCATGCACAGAGCAGGGTCGATGGGGAGGTTGAGGCGCCACCCCCTGTCACGCACAGAGCAGGGCCAATCAGGGGGTTGGGGCACTGCCCCCTGTCACTCACAGAGCAGGGCCCATCAGGAGGGTTGGGGCTCTATACCCTGTCATGCACAGAGCAGGGCCCATCAGGGGGTTGGGGCGCCGCCACTCTCACACTCAGGGCAGGGCCGATGGGGAGGTTATGGCTCTACCCCGTCACACACAGAGCAGGGCCCGTGGGGGGGGGGGGGTTGGGGTGCCGCACCCTGTCACACACAGAGCAGGGCCGATCAGGTGGTTGGGGTGCCGCACCCTGTCACACACAGAGCCGCAGGGCGATCAGGGGGCTGGGGAGCTCCCCCCTATCAGGCACAGAGCAGGGCTGATCAGGGGGTTGGGGCGCCTTCCCCTGTCACGAACAGAACAAGGTGGATAGAGAGGTTGTGGCCCCGCCCCCTGTCACACACAGAGCCGCAGGGTGATCAGGGGGTTTGGGCGCTGCCCCCTGTCACGCTGATCCCGGTGCCGGAAGGCCTCGCGGCTCTGCTGATCCCGGTGCTGGGAGGCATATTACCCTTTTACTATATAGGGTAGAGGCCTGGTGCACGGGTGGGTGCCAGCTGGTTTGCCCTGAAGGATGTCCTGGATCAGGGTGGGGGTCCCCACTGGGGTGCCTGGCCAGCCTGGGTGAGGGGATGATGGCTGTTTGCAGCTGGTCACACATCCTTCAGGGTGGGGGTCCCCACTGGGGTGCCTGGCCAGTGTGGGTGAGGGGCCGAGGGCTGTTTTCAGGCTGGGAGTGACTGAAGCTCCCAACCGCTCCTTTTTTTCTTTTCTTTTTTTTTTATTCTGGGCCAGCTTTAGCTTTGAGTCTTGGCTCCAGCTCTTAGGCCTCCGCTGCTGAGAGTAGGTTTCTGGCCTTTGCTTACAATGTTGCGATCCTGCTGGCTGAAGCCTGGCGGACTAAAGCTGGTTTCTGGGGTTTTGTTTAGCTTCTATATTTGTTACATAGTTGCTTAGAGTTGCAGCTCAGAGGCCTGCAGCGGCAGGCGGGGAATGTTGGAGTCCTCCGTCACTGAAGCAAGCAAGCCTCATGTTAGTTTCAAGCTGCCTGGCTGCCGGCCACCATCTTGGCTGGCCGTTAATTTGTATATTTTTCTGATTATCCAATGGGAAGGGTAGCGGTCGTATGCCAATTACCATGTTTCTCTTTTATTAGATAGGATACAATTATTTTCATTATTTAAAACTCAGAAACAGATGTAGCAATAGAAAAACTATAAGTACCTAAGTATCACTCATCATTCACTGTTACAACTGCTGTGTGTTTATTGTTCATTTTTGCGTTTCCCTGCCTCATCTGTGCATTAGGCACTTACCTCATATTTGCTGTTTTCAATCAGCTCTTCTCAGGCTCATCAACATTATATTTATTCTTAGAAAATAAACTTCTGAACCCCCTTTCCTTAATGCCACACTGAACCTGTCAGAGAAATCTCAAATAACCTTCAGTATAACCCCAGCATCTGTAGTTTCTCTTTGCCATTGTCTTCCTATAATAGTCATTGGACTTATTAGGAGTCTTTCCGCTTAATTTTTACGGCATTATTATTTTTGACACTCCAGCCATTTCCTTAAGGCGGTGAGTCTTGTGTTTTCCCTGAATCTCGATGTAACCTTGTTATGTTGATAAAGTACTCGGTCGTCATTACAATTCTCTGAAATGGCTTGAAGATGCTCAGCTCCTTTCCCACCCACTCTAATTTTTTTTTTTTTTTTAGGAACAATTTTCTAGTTTATAGTCAAACTCATAAATCAGGCTTCTAAGTTCTACACACTTGATTTAACAAGAGTATGTGAGTGGCCTAATAAAATCGTTTTTTTCCCCCTCTGCTTTCTTACTCTAGAGCTCAAAACCTATAGGGCTCAAAACATTTCCACACAGATGGAGCCTGCTGAGAAGTGGAAATGTTTTCTGTGAGTTTAATTTTGTAATCCTGAGAAAATGTATCTGTCATTATGGAGGCTACCGCTCCAGTGGCCTCTGGTTCTGGAGCTTTCTCTCCATTGCGTCTTCTGACAAGGACCACCGGTCTCTCTCCCGCACCCCTGGGTCCTTGCAGCTCGGAAGCCAGGGGGACTGTTCCTGCTTCTGCTTCCTTGACCTCAGTCAGCAAAGGCAGGAAAAGATGCAACCAGTGGAGTTGGGATTTGCTCCAAAGTTGGAAGCCTTTGACCTCTTGCCCCTACTTTCTTGAATTTCAGATGATTCTGATCTAAAGTATAAAGTACTTCAGTGACTTTCCTCGTCCCCTTAGCCCAGGTATTCTCTTCTTGTTGCAGGTTCCTCAGCTGCCCATGGCCTGCAGAGGGAGGTTGGGGTCTCTGGCCCGCTGGCAGCCTCCTTGTCAGCAGGGCACTGGTTCCCTCCGCCCACTCCCATCTCCGCATCTCTGTGCTGGGCTGTGTGTCTCCTGGGTTCTCTACCCTCAGCCCATGTTACTCCCCATCTCCTTGTTATGGAAACTCTGATTTTTGGTTCCCTTTTTTCCCTTTTATGTACATAGCAGCTCTTCAAATCTATCACCCTGATTTTATCTTACACTTTTATTTATCATGAACCTCCTCAGGGCTTCTATTATTTGTACTTTGGGATATTTCTTTCTTAGCTGATGAAGCCTGTAAACTTCGGGCAGGAGAACCAGAGGGCCCTACAGCAACCCTCACCTTTCCATCAAGAATATGTTCACCTTGAAAAGGGCTTTTCTGAGGTCAGTTTAAGCTAATCATTCTAATTCTGTCACTCCCCTCTTCCCTTAAAAGTTCCTTTGAGTTCTTTCCCCTTCTTTAACCTTTAAGTGCATTCTGGGTAGAGTATTTTAGAACAGTTCTTGTCTGGAGACCTGTCTTTGTGCTTTTGGTCTTTTGGATATAATCGTTTTTATTCAGATGTTCTTTTTGTCGTGGATAATTGTGACCTAATATGTGTGAGACTAAGTTACCAATAATATAATTTTTTTTCCAGAAATACACATATATATATATATATATGTACATGTACACATTAATGGAATGGATCATGGATATTATGTAATTCAATTAAGCTGGTATTTAGAGGCTTCATATATCTTAGTTATCCACATGGATATAGGCATCCCTCATTTTAGTGTGTTTTGCTTTATTACGCTTCATAGATACTGTGTTTTTTGCAAATTGAAGGTTTGTGACAGCCCTGGGATTTTTAGCATTTACATTTTAGTGATAGCATTTTTACCAATAAAGTACTTTCTAATTAAGGTATTACATTTTTTTAGACATAATATTATTACACACAACATTGCATAAACATAACTTTTATATATACTGAGAAACCAAAAAGTTTGCGTGACTCACTTTGTTTCAATATTCGCTTTATTGTGGTGGTCTAGAATCACACCCGCAACATCTCCGAGGTGTGCCTGTGCCTCTGTGTGCCTGTGCAGTAATATATAAAGTGAGCTGCCAAACCATGACACCTCATTGGCTAACTGTTTTCTCTTTCTTTTTAATTGTGGTAAAATATACATGACATTTTAATTGTGGTAAAATATACATCTTAACATTTTTTAAGTGTACACAATTCATTAGTGTTAAGTACATTTACATTGTTCTCCAGAACTCTTCTTATTTTGCTATATTGAAACTATGCACATTAAACAACAATTCCCCATCCCCCTCCACTCCCAGCTTCTGGCATCATCCCTTCTATTTCTATCACTGTGAATTGACTACTGTAGGTACCTCATTTAGTCTTTGTCTTTTTGTGACTGCTTATTTCACTTTATGTTGTAACGTGACAGGATTCCTTTTTAAGGATTTTTTAAGGCTGAATAATACTCCATTATATGTATACTAGAGGCCTGATGCACGAAATTCGTGCAAGAGTAGGCCTTCCTTCCCCCAGCTGCCAGCACCGGCTTCCCTCTGGCCACTGGCAGGCACCCGGGACCAAGGCTTCTCTTGCAGCCCGGGCTTCGTCCAGAAGGTCATCTGGTCCAATTAGCATATTATGCTTTTATTATTATAGATACCACACTTTTTTATTTCCTCATTTGCTGAATTGCTTCTACCTTTTGACTGTTGTGAATAATGTTTAAATACTGGCATAATAATCATGGTAAACTGACAGCATACTCCAGAGCCAGCCAGGTTCAGGTTCAGAATACGTTCCCTGAGTCCTAATGCTGATCTCTGTTCCTGTAAGTATTCACAGTGGGTCTGATGGTGAGCAAGTTGTCATCCTGCGTGGCCAACCACAGCACAGAGCGCTGCACCCGCAGGCCCATCTTTGGAGAACCAGCCCAGTAGCCAGTGGCCCAGTGGCCAGTGCCAATCAGGCTGGCAGGCTGGGGCTCGCCACCGGCCTGCATTAGGCCTGGTATTTCACTCTGGCTTTGGTAATTCCCCTGCAGCCTTGGGACAACCTCAGGACAATAGGCCAATCATGTGACATGTTCTGAAATGACAAGGTGAATTTAGATGGGCTTGTGGCAGATATTTTAGGGAAAACTCATTGCCAATCAAGCCTTTTACCGTTTCTCTTTAAAACTTAAAGATGGAACTGTCACCATTCTTTCTTTCTGTAGGGGAGAGAAAGAGTTAACTGTGCTACATTTTTATCAGGAACAAATAGATGGTCCCTTTGGTCAACCTGTTCTTTTTCTCTTCATGTTTTCACCCTTTCTCTTTTCTATTTTTTTCTTTTTCTCCTGATACACAGGCTTTGCAGTGCATGCTGATCTCTCTCCAGGCAGAACTTGACATTCAAAGGTACTTGATGAAAATTGAATCATCTCAGCGAGTTAGTACTTTTCTTTTCTCTGCATTGAGTCGCATCTCACCTCCTGCCTTTTCACTCAACTGCGTGTGGCATTCTAATCCGTGTCGACCACTAAACGGAGAGCCTGTACTTTGCCTGGTCTGCCCCGCGTCCGCATTTAAACCTCTCAAAGCCAAATGCTTGCAGCATTCTGAAATGTGCATCTTAAAATTGTGAGAGTTATTACTGAAATGAACACTAATTGCATGCTTGCTTTGAAATATTTTGTTCATTTACCACGAGTTGAGCTGTGAATCAGCAGTAATGCAACAGCAGGTCAGAGATCGGGGCACAATCACCTGAAAAGCGGGCTCTCCAACAGGAGACTCCATCCTCAGCAGCCATTCCAGGCAGCGCAGCCGTGGCAGTAAAGCAGAAACCTGCATCATTCTAGGTCTCAGAGCTCTAGGACTCTTCCTTTGCTCAGCTCCAGTACATTCAATTTGGGGTCCAGTTCATATTACTGACATACATTTTAATAATAAAAATGACAGGAACAGACACATTTATCTAGAACTTACTACATGCCAGGCACTGTACCAGGTACGTTACAAGCATTAAGTTCTCACAGCAACTCCATGGGGTAGGCATACGATGGTCCCCATTTTATAAGGGAGGAAACTGAGGCACAGATAAGTTAAGTACCTTGCCCAAGGCCACAAAGCTCTGGTAAGCAACAGAATTGGGATTTGACTCTAGGCCCGTGGTCAGCAAACCGCGGCTCGCCAGCCACATGCGGCTCTTTGGCCCCTTGAGTGTGGCTCTTCCACAAAATACCACGTGCGGGCGCACACATACAGTGCGATTAAAACTTCGTGGCCCATGCGCAGAAGTCGGTTTTCGGCCTGGGCGAGTCTATTTTGAAGAAGTGGAGTTAGAAGAAGTGGGAGGCGTCAGTCGGTTGGGCCGGGAGACGCAGCGCAGGCGGGCCGCGGGATACGCAGCACAGGGGAGGTACATTGTTTTGAGGTGCATTCGCTGAGGTCGACCCCTTCCAACTCTCCCATCCACACTCGTCTATCTGAAACAAGTATACAAGACGAGTGTGGATGGGAGAGTTGGAAGGGGTCGGCCTCAGCAAACATACCTCAATTAGATCGAGGATGTTTTTAGCAAAGGCCAGCTTAGGAGCACCCTAATTAAGTTAACAACAATGTACCTACCTATATAGTTTAAGTTTAAAAAATGTGGCTCTCAAAAGAAATTTCAGATATTTGGCTCTGTTGACTAATGAGTTTGCCGACCACTGCTCTAGGCAATCTGTCCTTGCATTTTTTCAACATATCGTTTATTTCCTCAAACGTCCTCAGTGTTCTCTGCTTCATCATAGGTGAGTTAAAACTGGAATGCAGCGGGGAGAGTTTCCAATACCTGGATACCTGGCTTAGCACATAGCCACCCACATCCTTTTTGTCCCCCAAGCAGGGGCTCTTACTTGATTGTCTCCTGAGCATACACAGGGCAGAACCGTTTGGTCTGGACTGCGAAGCCTGAACACACTGTGCTCAGGAAGACCCCAGCAGCCCAACTTGTGGTCAGTCTTCAGTGAACACACGGACCCGTTTTCCTTCCCTTTTCCTAATACTCAGACTCTTTCATTTTTATAGGGTTAATAAGCTCAAATTAGAAAGCCCCCGCTTAAACAAAGAGACACAGAAGTAAAAGTTGGGCGAGAAGAAATACAGAGCATCATCGTCATACCCCACACCATCTCAGTTCTGATGGTTCAGTTACCTTTAATTTTTTACGTGATTCTTAATTGTTCCCGCATTTCCATAACTCACGCAAACTAGAAGCATCTTTATGATGGCCTCGCACACACCTTGTGCACTAGGTAGCAATGCAGAGGAGGAAATGAAGCCATTTCCTACAACTGGTACACTGCAATTTAGTCTTCCTTTCTGCTATCAGAACAGAGATTTGACATCATGATGTGGGATTTTCCATTCATTGTGACAAATACAGTTTGGGGTCCCCTTCATTATTGTTTTCTTATGCTTAAAACAAATAAATTCAAAATGCTGACTCTTGTTATTTTTTGATGATAAATTTGGCAGTAAGTAATGAGGTATTAGAGAATTTTTTCAAGGTGTTTTTTTTTTTTAAGCATTTACATACAAGTTATAATTAGCACCAGGTATTATTACTTTGCTAACACCTAGCATTTTCATTTTGTATTTATTGAGAGTATTTTAAATTACTTTCACATATACATTTATCAAATCACTCTTGTGATTCCATAAGATAAGCAGACAAAAATAGTGAAGTCGTTCCTAGTACTTGAACATGATTTATACTTGGAGAAGGAGTGGGATGAAAGTTAAGGGGGAAACGGAAGCAACTCTTAGAGCGTCTGCACGTGTCAAATTTTCTATTTTGAAGATGGAAGTAACCATTTACTGACTTCACTAGATCAAGAAAAAGGCAAGGTGAACTCAGTGAGAGACTGGTTGGTATTCTCCCCTCTCGCATAGGACCCCACAGGCCATGGGACCCACCACCTCGAATTAAGTGGGGAGCAGAGCACCCAGCACCATCTGCAGAGAGTGCTGTTACATCAGGGAGCTAAGTGTCAGTTCATAGCTGACAAATTCCTGTGCGCATTTGCAATTACTGCTCACAACTGTTCAAGTAAATATTGTGATTCTTCTATAAAAGTGAGAACTAGAGTTCACAATAAGGCCAGTGCGTGTCAGGATCGGAGTATGCATTTGTGAGAATACTGTGAGCAAGAGTCAAATCTTCTTATTCTAAATCCTGTCTTCTTTCCATCTCTCCAAACCCTGGTATTCTTTCCTCTAGCAGGACCAGAGGGAAAGGACCCCTTACCTGAGAAGCTAGTCAGAATGTTCACAAGGTGATTTTTCATTGTAAAATCAGTCCGGTGAAATGGGGAGGGCGGCTGGTGGTGGGGGCGGTGTTTGGAAATGTGAGTTGGAAAGTAACAGCAAACTCTACTCCCAAGACGCCTGGAGAGGGTCTGGCCTCAGGCGCTTGGTGGCCTCGGCTTGGTCCCCTTGGGCACCAAGTGTCCCCTCTGACCAGCTCCATGCGGCCTTCTTCATTGTGGGGGTAGTGAGGACATCTGCAGCTGAGGGAGGTCGCTTTTGCCATCAGGGAAAACCTCTTCGGTTTCACAGCAAGGCAGTTAAGCTCTAGGGGCACCACCCCTGGGCCCGGGGCCCCACATCCTCTCCAAAAGGAACTAAAGCCCGGGCTGCAGGGATGAGCTTAATAATGGCTTTTGTCAGAAGGCTTTCTAAGGTGCATATTTTGCACTGTGGGTTCTGTTGGTTGTATTTGACTTGAAATTTCAAAGCCTGCAAGCAGGTCGCTTTCCTTTCATCGCTGTAATAACAGCAATCCTCACATGGCCACCTTTTATCCTGAAGCCTTTTAAGTGCCTTCCTGGCTCTCTGGATGGCAGAGGCATCTGCTGCTTTGCTCAGCCTCTCCCAGTGAGCACTGTGGGAGCCAAAGCCTGCGGAACCGCTCCTTTGTTTATCATGCACACCTTCTTGTTTCAAAAATAAACAGAGGGACTGGTTGAGTCAGGGCAGCTGGCCATAGGGAGACTCTACCTGAAGGTGGATAAACTAAAACTCAAGAGGCCTAGGAGACAAATTTGTGATTGGCTTGAGCATTAAATTTAGCTTCCACCTTTCCAATGTACCTGATATTTTATGCCCTTCTCATTGTAGGTCAAAGTAACACTTACTACTCCTTCATGAGGCAAACTTATTTTCCTGTTTCAAATTCTGAAAGGCACGTGGTTTGCTCATGCCTTCGTGAAAGGGACATTGATGCATGGACATAATAGGTCAGCAAGAAAACAGCAGTATTCTTCATCAGGTCTTTTATTTTGTTCCTTCAAGAGGAAAACACAACACTAAATAATAATTGCAGGAAGGCGTGCCTGAAAGGGCTGGGGGGCGGGGGGGGGCGGGTAATGATATTCATATTTGGAATTGCTCAGGGTGTAACTTTCTAACTTGATGGAAGGATGCTAAATGGAGATGATGGTGAGCTAGGCCTTCTTTATCTTCTTTAAATAGCCTTATCTTATTATGGCTTTAGGGAAAGTCAGAGAGCAGCCCAATTCATGGTGCTATTTCAGAAGCAAGTCTATGTCATATTACAGGAAGGACACCAGGTGGGCAGATAGCAGTTGACATCTAATCCCAGAAGTGGAAGAGGCCACAACCCCGCCCGCCCCCCCCCCCCCCGCCCCCACCCTCCCACCCCCACGGACCTGGTGAGGAGCCCAGGCCCCATCTGCAGGGCAACCGGCTTTTGTTGCCCCTCCAGGCACAGCCAAGCCTCGTAAAGAAAAACAAAGGAGAATCATACCATCTACACACTGTGAAGGGGTTGAAAATTTGAAAATATTCAAGGAATTATAGAAAATGGTTTTTATGTTTTCCTGGAGTCAAATTTTAAGCGCCTTAACCTTACCTCAGTGGTGTCAGAACTACAGAGGTGAGAGTTTGTCTTTTTAAAAGGTTGATGTTATCTGCATGTCCAGAATTTATTTGACAGCTTTTGGGTCTTCTCTCCTAACTGTATCTTTTTTGAAATTGGAAGTCCATACCATTCTAGATTCCTGCCACATTGTGTAGGGCATGGAAGGGAAACTGTGTCTCTGTGCCTGGGGTTTCCCCATACATTTGAGTCCTCATGTCAGGGGCCATCTATAAGGAGGCTTCCTTTCACCTGGGCCCTAGTCCTGCGCATGCACAGGAGAAGACAGGGACAGCAGCAGTCCCTTCAGGTCACCACAGACAGGAATCGCTCTGGTTCCTCAGTGCTCCCCTGATCCACGCTTTTAACTTACCCTGCCCCCTCGGTAATTCTCTGAATTACCAAAGCAATCCATTCTCATTTTGGAGAAATAAGGAAAAATGTATATCACTCAGAACACTGCCGTATAAAGAAAACCAATGCTAATATTTGGTATTGTTTCCATTTCTTGTTATTTTTTT